CTATGAAAACAAATAAAGTGAATGTAACCATGTGAACAAAAGCACAGAGTTGTGTTAGGCTATTTTGATTACCCTATTACAGTCACTTTACAGTCAGTGCTACCATAAAAATAGACTTACTTGTAGGTTTGAAGTTCTACATGTCACATTTATTGTCCAACTACAAATATTTCAGCGAAATGTATATTTTAGTCAGAATTATTGCGATCTTATTTAATTGGGCTCTTGTCTGTTTGGCACGCATGCGCGCGGTGGCGCTCATTCACTGAAGTCTGTAAAGTTTAGCGGAGAATCCCAAAGCAGAAGGCTCATGCACTTCTGACAGAAAAATGGAAATATTTCCATGGCTTTCTAACATTTACAGAGGGAGAATATACCTGTGAAATGTAAGTTATGCATTCAGGAAGACAGCACATCTCAAACACATTAAACAGCGCGAGTAGCCTAGTGTCTCTGTCAGCGGCACACGCAGCCTTTCTGTCCAAGCATCTGACGGGCCGAGCTGCTTAAACTAACATGCGAAACGAAACTAAACTACAGTGGGTACGGAAAGTATTCAGACCCCCTTAAATTTTTCACTCTTTGTTATATTGCAGCCATTTGCTAAAATCATTTAAGTTAATTTTTTTTCACTGTCTTACCAGTTTTTAAAGGCCTTAATATGAAGCTTGTCACATGTTTAGAACAAATTGGATTATGCACCTTCTCCGCAGCAGCTCAGTCTGTGTCCTCCGCTATATTTTCAGATGCGCTCGTATCAAACTACTGTATATCAATATAAATGGTTTGCCTCATATCAAATCGCTTATAAAGAAAATATCGATATATCGTACAAACTCGATATATCGCCCAGCCCTAGTACGTAACTTAATTACGCTGCTGTCTCAAATACATTTTGGGAAAATTTCAAAGCAAAATTGTTTTCATGAAGAAGGCAGACACAGAAAGCGTCTATAACCAGCTTGATGAAATATATATACAGTATAATACATATATTTATAATCATAATTAAATGACACATCCAATAGCTTTATAATTGATTGATTTAACTGACTGATTTATCAAATAAAATCAATGATGTTATACAAAACGTTGATTATAAATTAATATACTTATTACAAACAAATATATAATGAATCTATTAATAAATAAATAACCGCTCACTAGATTTTGGAACAGAGCTCTTGTTTAGTTTCTTGAATGAATAATGAGGCCAACAGGCTTGACAGGATAAAAAATCAATGACCAGATTCTTTCGGATATAAAGATCATCTGCATTGCTAAGATTTTTCATTTTCTGTTGTTGATGTTCTGCCACCACCATGAATAACTGAAGGGAGGTGGGTGGAGTTTTCATTGTTCAGAGCATTTCATTGTTGTTGTCATCAAACATGAATTACAGACAGAAAACCACCCACATTATTTCCCCTTACAAACCTACAGCTATACTCTAATGCAGTTAAACCAAAAACAAAACTCCCTTTGCTTCAAATAATCCACTTTAACTGAAATTACAGCCTATCATTTAAGGACGCCCAATATTGGAAAGGGCACAGTAAGTGAATGTCATCTTTTTTTTTTTTACTGAAACCTTTTTTTCACTCCCTGGTTTCTAAACCATGTTTTCATCATTAAAGAATAATGGTGTTCTCTCAAAACCTTTTAGGAGACAGAGAAGAAGAGGAGTCCGATAAAATGGAAGGATGTGCATCACTTTTTTCCGGCTAAAAAAAATAAAAAAAATAAGAGGGATGAAAAACGAAGAGCGTGAGGCTCGGCACTCCTGAACATGTGATGTGCGGAAGCAAAAGTAAGCCAAAGCAAGGGCGGGCGACACTCCACCCAGCAGTGAAATCATCAAACTTTTAATGACTTGGGTAATTACCCCTAGTGAGCCTGCTTAATGGCGTACAGCGGACGTCGTTAGGCACAGAGGTCCAAACGCACACACTGGCACACAAACGCAGCTGTGAGAGAACATGTCGACTGTATGGAAACAAAGCCAAAAGGTACCTGATGAAATCGCGTGCGACAATTTTTCTCTTTCGGCTTAACAAGGAGTTTTCCTGTGCGTGCTTTTGCAGAACTCTTCCCTTGAGTCTTTACACTAGTGTTCACGATAATACTTTCCATCCTCTGTGAATCAAAGAGCTGTCACAACACAATCAGAGCTACAATGGAGTGATGCTGTTTTCACACTGACAGGCAGCACTCATTAGGGTCCTTTGAGACCATCACTGTAATGATAAGTTTTCTACTAGGGGAGTAATTCAAAAGCATGTTACTACCGCAATCACATGAGACAGGTGTACGACATCATCAGGACAAATAATTACAGGCTTAAAGAGCCGTAGAGGAAATCAGAGCTTGTACCGAGTGGACGACGGACAGGTGGAGAGCGAGAGGGAGGGGGAGGTTCAGGATCATTCTGTCCTCCTGCGCTATTATGGCAGTCGTCCCCCTTTCACAGCTTTGCAATTAGCATGTCAGCCTGAGCTGTTCAGTGAGGCTCACCAAATCCTCTCCTCTTCTTCTCCTTTCGCTGTCATTCCTTCCTCCTCCTACAGGCCGCACTTAAGGGGCTTTTGGTGGAAAGCTCCAGAAGGACAGGGCTGCATGCATGACAGGACCTCCAGTTCCTCCATATTTCATAAAGTGTGATCGTGCTGCCGAATGAGAGCCGAGACGCTCTGTCTTCATTCTCAAAAAATTATGCATTCATATCTCTTTCTTCCACTGATGGGACTCAATCAATGCTTGAATTGACGTTTGTTGTGTGTTCAGACTTTTTCCTGGTGAGTTTCCTGGCGAATCAATCGAAGAGCTGGATCTGACGCTCACCAAGATCTTCCAAACCCCTCGGGGGTGAATAATATTGCAGGATACGTGTACAATGAACATCCCGCGGCTTGCCTCTGAACCTATTGTTTTGACAGATACTGCAATTGCGGACCTCTCGACCCCCGCTACGCTCTTCTAAATAAATCCTGATAGGTCAACAGGCTTTCCAGAGCCCTTCTCATAATGATACGAGATGCCCCTGCTGAAGCCCGTGCTGCATGCAGTACCGCCACTGTGTTTAATTAGGCCACTTAAGGCATTCTCTCATTCTAATGCAATGAATAAAGATAGCTCCCGGCACAGCCGCGCAGATAAGGATTTTAATTGTCTTCTTTCAGCGGGCCCAGTATGCTAATGGCCATCTCCCCAGGGTGAGGAGAGCACCCTAGAGCGAGCTGGAGACTGGCTTCACGCTAGCGAAGGGGAAGAACTTTGTGTGAATGCACGCAAATGCTCGAATAAAGGGCTTACATCTTTCTCCATTTGTCTCCAAAAACTTTCTGCTGAGCAAGTCGACCACACTCACGGCTGAGCCTGTGCGCCACTGATAACTGCTCTCTCCAATGAGTGCCGTGAAATTCGGATTCTGACGGACAAGAGTGCTATTAATTACCGTGCGGTGTATTGTCTCTCGTGCTTACGTGTTATATGGCAATAACAATGGAGAAAAGAAAAGGCGGTATTGTGATATGTTTAAAGTTTTGAGCCACAGCGAGTATGAATTCTTGAAGGGGTCACCCAAAAATTATGTACCCCCCCTCGTGTCCTTCCAAACATGTATGTGTTTTTTTCTTCAGTGGAACACAAAAAATATTCTAACGCTGCAACACACGACAAAAAGGTATTTGCGACGAGTAACAGCAGATTCTATTTCTGCGGCATCGCTGGAGCAATGTCATACAAACTAAATTTGGATGAACTATCCCATTAATATCGGTTGAATATAATACACTGAATCAAATAAACAGCCAGTCACAAAGTGATTATACAGTAACTTTCTCTTCTTTTTCCTGATTCTTTCTGCCCTCTCTTGCTTTTTATTTTTTCTTTTATTTTTGCTGATGTTGTAAGCCGGGGCAGATAGTGCAGATGCTGATGTTTCTAGTAGACATCTTCTCTTTGCCTGCCTTCCTATTTGGATCCCACCCAGGACCTGGTGTTATGCTGATAATTGGCCTGTCCTGTAAATTCGAGTTTCTCACTTGGCTGAACTGCTACCTCCACAGTAACTGTCAGAGAGGTGGGAGGAGAGCTGGGGGCAAGGAGGGAGGAGGGCACGGGCTGTTATGTTATCACCCTCAGGAGAGTGAGCAAAACCTCAATTAGCTTTCCGTGAGCATGGCAAGAAAGTTATTTCACCGACGAGACAGTGCAAATGATATTTTAAGCGGGTGTGAATGGGTGCATCAAGTCTAACTGAAGAGACGTGGACTGACGGCTGACGCATACTTTTTTCATTATCAAATCATTTAACATGACAAATGGAGTGGGCTTCCCCTTTCAAACGGACATTAGACATGCCATGTATGTTTGAACGGAACTGTACGTGCCCCACATCTGTTTTGTATGTGTGTTTTCCCTTCTCTGCAACGACAGTGACCAGACAGGACTGTGTTATGTTATTTATATTTAGCGCGAGTAGACAAGGGTGAATTCCAGTCTGTCTCTGTCGCTGGCCAGATCATTGGCACTTTTCTGAGGAAAGGACAGGAAAATAGAGAGAGAGACAGAAGCAGAAAGAGGAAGATGGAGAGAGAGAAGGGCACAGCGCGTCCCACTGTTCCTCATTGTAATGAGAGGGTGCCGTGGTGCAGTGGATGCTCCTAATTACTACCAAGCAGCTGCAACCGCAGGGAGGAACGGGTCCTGCCGGGCCCCAGCACAAATCCACCAGTGTGGAGAGAGCGAGAAAGAGAAATAACGAGAGAGAGAGAGAGAGAGAGAGAGAGAAAAGAAAATAGGGCATTATTTCTACTTTGAACACGTGTTGATTACATTAGCAAGATATTGGAATGTTCTCTTGACAGTGAACACTGGCTGGGAGATTTATTTTTTGTTCAATGTATAATTCCACCTCCCTCTCTCCATAATTTTCTGTTCTCATTGTACTGTCCTCTATGATACATTTTTATTTTTAATCTAACAAAATATACCTTCTCATTGAAAACAACAGATGCCCAGTTGTCAGCTCCTTTCTGAAGAACGAAGACAATGTTGCCAGGCAACACAGCCAGCTCCTCTTTGGTCTCAGGGTAAAACTCATAGAGAACAGTGTGTGGCTCACCTTCAAATACCCTGATGATAATGACATTTATGTAAAACAAGAGGACAAAACAATACAAAAACTCTATAAACTGCAAATATATTTCAGCTCTAAAGAGTTAAGGTTAAGATCCATTAAATATTGTTCTATAAATATATATGTCCATGACGCTAAACTAGTCTTACCTTAGTACTTCTGGGACTTTTGGTGTAGATGGAACATTGTCAACCTAACAATACACAAATTAAAGTAATGCCCTGTGGTCATTAAAATGACAGTTTTGAACATTAGATTATCATTAACATAGTCTTCAAACCTCTCTCTGTTATGCTTATTTTGTTCTTATGTTAACATGTTAAGAACTTCATTACTTACTTGAGGCTGAAGTGGAGCAAACCCAGAAAAGTCATCTGCGGGTACAATAGAAGATACAACCTATAAATAAAAAACAATTTACTGGCCAAACAGAAAAGGGATCTCTTCAGTAACATTGCACACTGTATTGATGTGATAATGGGGATGGTGGGTACCTTGGCTTTTCCAAGATAGTCCTTTTTCTCCAGCTCTGCCACATAGTTCTTATTGGGTTTGAACAGCAGCCCTGAATCTCTACCAAAGGAAAGAGCTTCTGCTACTGAAAAGAGGAAATCACAGTGTTTATCAATTTTAAAACAACACATCAAGACAATAACCACATACAGTTCAAGCTGTTTTGCACTATGCTCATCAGTGTAATATAACAGAGTTTTTTTTTGTTTTTTTTTAGATTTGTTTATTCATTTTTCAAATAACGGTATGCTGGTGCAACAATTTTAAAATGTCATTAATTTGTCATTAAAATTCTTACAAAGAATGTCACAAGAAGTACAAGGATGTAGAAGGATGACTGGTGACTAGTAGAAGTCATCTGTCTTGTAAATTTTGCCCCTCCTGCAGTTTACACAACTTCCCACAAAACCTACCCAGAAGCAGTTAATATGCAACATCAAATTTCACCAATTTCTAATTAGGAAAACTGCAATATGTTACAAAACAACAATATGCTAACAATTATTTTGAGATAATCTTCAGAACTGGCTTTATATCACTGCAAAAACTGCAAAATTATTCAGTGATTTCTGTTTAAAATTGTAGGATGGATAATTATGTTATGTGGAACAACTTTAGCAGTTACATACCAGTATGGCTTCCAGAGCATGGTCAATATGGCTGAACTTGTCATCTGCCCTCAGGCTCAGTGCAGTAAGAAGATTCTCTTGAGCTCTCTCCCATTTTCCCAACTGAGCCTGTACTACTCCTATGTTGTGCAGCACCTAAATCGCATATGACAAAATGACCATATCAGAGAGTGGACTGATTTGACTTAACCCATCAAGTGTGTCACTGCGAATAAATCAATCATTCACACTACTCACTCTTGGAATAACTGAGTCACTCACACCACAACTATTAAGGAATAAAACCAATAAAGGTAAAAAAAACAAGATTCTGTGCACATAAAATGTTCAATGTGTGGCACATCCCTGGTCTTACCTCACAAGCATAGAGTTTCTATCTCAGCCCTAGAGGTTTGTAATCTATTAGCTGATTTCCTCGTAACTGCTTAAACGCCTGCTGGAAAACCTGAAGATACAATTATGAACATTTTAATAAAGTGTCAAGACATTTCTTCCGAAGAGACAGTATGTGGCGTTTTGTAGTCCCCTCTATAAGAACACTTGAACTATCTGAGTGGCGTAAAATATTTCTTAATGAAGAGATGGTAATGGCTTTACCTTTCCTTTTTGTACAATGTAACTCCTCTCTGAAAAAAGGCAGCAGCCAGGTGCTCATCTTTGCCAAT